TACCTGGGCAGGTGATTCCTATTTTGATTAATATATGTTCACATGCATAGTGTTTTGTAATTTAATAAGGTTATTAAAATAAGGTTATCTGTGGTTTCATATATAAGTCCAACAAATATATTTTCATAGGCAGAGGTTTCATTTTTCAAGTTACCCCTTTAAAAGGAAATATTCACACTCAATTATTGTGCTGACACATAAAGTGGACAAATATACGATTTGATAATGGAACAGCAAATTAAAATGTGCGCAAGCAAAGAATACAGAGCAGCAGCCCCATCCAGACCTGCCTGGGCTGCCTGATTAAGTACTTACAAGGCAGTTTGGTAAGGGGCCCTTTCCTGATCTGATAACTGCCACAGAGAAGCCAAATGCAGAGTCAATCTGCAAATACTTAATCCTCCAGAAGGCAGATTAAGTGTATAATTGACCTATATAATCCATGTATCATCTCTAGTCAAATGTTCCCTGGTTCACAATGACACCGGGCCTGAAGAAAGCCAGGGCGGATATGGCATTACCACCAGTGTGGATTCTGTCCAAGTTCGAGATGGCTTTTTAATCACTCATCTCTGAGCCTGGGAGGTTTAAGCAGATGAATTCACCCTAAGCACATCTCTTTTAATCCCGATTTTCTTCTCAGTCTGTGTCTTCAAGAAGTACAAGGAGGAAAGAAATAAATTAATTTTTGTTTAGACCTTGAAATCTTAGGTGCTTCTCTTGATGATCTGATCTCTAATTTCAAAAAGCATGTTTTTGTTTTGGGAAGATGTTGAATTAATCACCAGAGAAGGGGGAAAAGCCATCTGCATGATTTATGGACACTCGAGCTTTAAATCGCAGTCTTCAAGTTATTTCTTGAGCTTTTGCTGTCCTCCTCAGCTCCTGCTTTAGGAATATGGAGATTTCCTATCCCTGTTTGATATTTTCTTTAAAAGTCAGCATAATTTTCAAGGAGGCCAAGCTTCCCCTTGAGTATGACAGCAATCTGATTCTTTTTTTTTTTTAAAAAACTGAGCAATTTAATTTATTATTACTATATATCTATATGGGAACAGTGTTTTACTTTAAATCTCTGAATCTTTTGTTTCAAAATATTATAAGCTATTATTCTGCAGCCACTAAAACCAGTTTAAAATTGTATGTCCTTTTCCAGAACAAAATAAAAAAATGCAGATGCAAAAATATATAACTGCAATCTGAAATACTATGGGAAGCAATTTGAGGAATCTTTTCTGATTGGCATTTTATTTTGGGCTATTTTGGTTAGCTTTTTCTTAGTGCAATATAGAAAAAGTTGATAGTATTTATAGAAGGACTATGAAAATCAATTATATTAATCAAAAGGGAACTTTCACCTCATTAAAAATGACATGGTTAGGAAATGTTATGTCTGAATGCATTTCTTCAATAAACCTAGAGAAATCCTGTTTAGAAAAAATTGGTAGAGATGAATTTGGAAAGCTGCTGTTAAGTTACATAATAAAATAGATAAAAATGCAGAACATTATAGAGCCCCAAATGCAATGCCGATAATCTCCCACAAGCACCCAGTTCCAGCCAAAAGTACAATGACGAGGCAGAGAGAAAACCAGATCAGATAGAGCCCTGAGATAGGGCCTGGTTAAAACAGAAGATGCACTCATTAAATGACCAGCTATTAGTCCAAATGTTCTCAGATACAAACACATACTAATGCCATCCATACTAATGCCATCCAGCCTTTTCTGTAAGACACACTCAAAATGGCAAAAAAAAAAAAAAAGGGGGGGAGAGAAGAGGTAACAATATAAAAATAGGAAGAACTTAAAGGACTTATGAGGTAAATAAAACCGAGACTTTGAAACACAGCTAAAAACACAACAGGAACTCTGAGAACATGCCTCTGATGACAGATGCCAGCAGGAACTAAAAACCAGAGAATGACACAACAGTCAGAATCAACATCCCCCAAACAGCAAACAATCTCAGTTATATATCTATATTTTTTTCTTCATTCAAAATGCTAATTTTCTATTATTCACTTTTGCCATTTATCAAAATGCGACAATTTGGAAGAGAAAACTCTCAGATCAACAAGTTTTTCTCAATAGATTTCTGCCAATTGTTTAGAAACCCACCCCAAGACCACTATCACTGGGAATGGAATTTAAAGAATAAGTTCACTGCAGCAAGAAATGTAGGGTGACAGGATTTGCAGACCTTCTGCCTTCATGCTCCTACTCCCTCGTTTAGCTCGGTGGACATGAGAGCCTTGCAGGGCATATATGGGAAGAAATAAACACCAAGCTTGAGGAAACAGAAGCTGAAAAATAATCAAACATGTTGGTAATCTGATGTTTTGCTGCTAGATTATAGAAAAACAGTTAAGTACTGAATTAAATTACTGAGACTGCATGGTAATGAAGCTTTTTGAAAAGCTCTGGGTTTTTCAAATGACAAATGTTTTAAATCCATGACAGATTCAATAACTTTTTTTGCACTACATCAGTTATGTTGCCTAGCACCAATATTCTGTAAATTAGGGGAGCAGGTTATTCGGAAAGTAAGAAAGTAAATGGCAAAGAAATTCGTTATCTCTAAATAAGCTACTGAAATTTTTTTCCTTGGGGAAGGGAGTGATGTTCAGTGAAGGACTGTAATGGTTAAGCTATTAAAATGAGATACTCAGGGGAGTGTAACTAAGACTCCCCTGGGAAAACATAATTGGGACTATCCGGGACTAAACTGTGGGGCTTTTCACAATGGTACTGATACCATTTTATGGTGGTCACCATAATCCAGCAAAGGACCGGAAATACCTGCAAATTTCTGAGTAACCCTCAACATATTTGCTTTCTATAAACATATTCTTAGTGATCTTTTTTATTTATTACTAATTCATATTAAAGGTCAGAAGGCTTGAATTTGCCTCTGTTCTTCAGGAGTTGGGCGAGCCCAGTTTTACCATCTGTGCTAGCCAAGACTGCATCTTACTTTTAAAATAAGATTCAGTTACAGTTTCCCTTAAAAAGAGCCACAGGAGAAAACAGTTTCCCTTGTTACCTCTGACAAAGCTACCTTTAAAAATGTCTCCCTGAATTTCTAATTAAAAAAGAGAGAGAGAGAGAGAGGGAACGGTGGGTTATCTGTCAATTGAGCAAGAAGCTAAACTACAGATTAAACATCAAATTCAGCAATGGATGTTTTAAAGAGGTTATTCTCACACACACACACACACACACACACACTCATACAGGAACACACACACAAACACACGCAAAGGCCACACAAAACTGAGAATCAGAAGATACTGATCAAAGGAAAAAAAAAGGCAACCTAGGCATTGAAAAGAACAATCCACAGGCTTCTTGAAAATTTGTGGTTTGGAATTTAATTCAGCGGAGATGGGCAGAGTCCACACTCCTAACTGCAGACCCAAGGGCGCTGCCTGTCTGTTTTCAATGCCTATTGGATGGGTGATCGTAATCGTGCCCCGGACATTCTAGGTTCAGTACTTTGATAAAGGCACGCATGCAGAGAAGGGAGAGGACCCGCTGGTGAGCTTTATGCATGTATGAGGCATTCTCAGTGGATGTGGGTCATGCTAGAAGATGTACACAGGAAGATTATTTGATTCTAATTCATGCCACTTGATATAATGTGATAAAACATTTGACATGAGAGATAAGTTCCATTTTAATCCGAGAGAGGACGGGTGGGAATTAAAAAGTAGAAGCGTATTCTCAAAGAAAGGTGATGCAGGGGAAAAAGCGATATTGAGCACAGAAAGGGGATGATTGGAAAAGGAAAAAGAAAAGAGCCTTTCAACACACAAGGAAAGCAAATGAGCTGGAAGACAAAGCATATAAAAGTCAGAAGCTGCAGAATACTTTAAAGTGGTGCCAACATCGAGCTCACTTAGCTATGGAGCAAACACACACACACACAAACTCAATGTAAATTGCCGAACACAATCACAGAAAAAATATAGAAACACGGATTCCATAGTAGACCAAAACATTAATGTTCGGGCTGGCACTAAAAATACGGAAACCTGGACAGGAGGAGCTCACGCTTCACGAGACAAAAGTAGGCGGCACAATTAGAGCCACGCAGACAAAAATGTCAGCTTCCATGCACTCTGGCCGGGTCTACACTGGCAAATTTGGTGGAAACCTGAAGCAAAATATCTGGCTAAATTAGGCAACCCCATCTGCTTTGGCCTGAAAGAGGCAAGCGACTTGAGACAGAAGCAGATTCTATTTTTTTTTTTTTTTTTTCCCTTTTTGACTCAGTGGCTTACTTTGGAAGTGCAGATGTAGTCAACAGCAGAAATCAGATGGCCTGGTAACTATTAACCCTTGGAATTCTGCACTGTCTGAAAATCAGTCTGGGCCTGGCAGCCTGATGTATTTGCTCTTTGTACACTTGGTGTCTTCTCCCCAATTTTCAAGTGGGCAAGAAGGGGGCACCTCCATTTAAAACACTGCTAACGAACATAAGCGTTTGCCAAAAGCCCAGGTTAACTAATGATCTCTAGTCTTTGGGAAAGGAAAAGATCCTTGAAGAGATAACGCAGTATTTACTGCACATTGCATCCCACAGCTGGGGTCAAAATGGTACCATCTCCTGGAGAGGGCACTGGCTCATCTTCCCGGAGCAGACCATTTCCCTGAAAGCAAGGCCAGATTGCAAGGAGGTGAGCCACGACTCAGAAAGGTCTTTGCTGGCTAGAGAAAGCTGCCTCCCAGGTTTCTGCAGGAACAAGCCTACTTGTGGAGAGGCTGGGTGCTCTCCTACGTATCACATAGATCGGGACTGAGACATGGCCACACCAGAGTGGGTTCAGAACAGACACACAACAGAGAAGAGCCTAAGGCAGGGGGAGCGGAAAAGATTTTGTTTGAATTAGGACCAATCCATTTTCTCAAAATGTGACTTATCCTCCTGTCTCTTATTTTGTCACATTTTGGAGGGTCTCCTCCTTGGTTTTCAAGGAGGAGAAGGCATTTACTTACATCAAATAACCTTTCTATATACATCTCCTCATTGACCTTATCACGAAGGACATCCTGAGAGTGGCGGACGAAAGTCACATAGGCGTCGGCCACGTCCATCCCGGGTTTCTGCAAAGAAACAGGAAAACATGAAAATGGAATTTTCAGACAGTGGCTCTTCCTTGATTACCCATGCATTTTACTCTCCCTGCTCCACCCCATTATATCTGTGCTGGTGTCGGAGGCTTCTCACAGAATATAGTGTAGCAATCCACAGCCTGGACTGGCAGGAACTGATATTAGAACCTCTGGCTCATTCTGGAAATCTAGTCTAGTTAAAAAAGGAGTTGGAATAACAGGGGCTTATAGATATTTTTCTACTAATAATTTTTTTTCTGGCAGATTCCTTTTCTGGCAAAGCGTTATCTAAGAAGTTAGATAATCTTTTAATCTAGTGGATAAATCTTCACTGGAAAACCCAGACATTCTCTGGCTTTTCTTTGGATTGAAACCCTCATTTCAGAATACCCAAACATATTGTTTCCTACCATCTGTCCTTACAGTGTCCTTAGAAAGGTGATGATGACCTTTCCTGATTCCCCTGTTTTCTTTAAAAAAAAGTGAGCAAGTGCTAAATTAAAAAAACAAAAAACAAAAAAACAAATCTATATCCCCCACCTACCTAAGTCACAATTTTGGGGAGAGTTTAACCTGAGTATGTACTAAGTATCTTGAGTATCTGTTAATCAGTTTACTCCAAGGAGACATTCAGCCATTTGTCTTTGCTTCCCCATGCAGTCTTAGAGAAAAGGATAAAAAAAGGAAGTGGGGGAAGATTTGATTTTTAAATAAATTAGATTTTCTGGAAAGGTAAGCAGGTGGTTCATCCAGTAGTTAGGAAATAATTTATTGTGAGAAAGGGGAAAAAAAAAAGGAAACAGAATGCACACTGCTTGAGATGTTGCATTCAAAGTTATCTCCAAAGAAACCTATTAAAACACTGTAATGTGGGTCATTGGGAGAGCTGCCACAAACCCCTTAAATTTCCACAGTAGATATGTATGTTTGCTAATAACTGAAAAGATTAGTTTTCATTACTGTGATTTACCTTAGATCACAAAGTATCATTTCTCTACAAGACGTGACTGTCAGGCACTGCAAATTGAAGTTAGTTAACACTTCTGTGTAATTTCCAGGGTGAAAATGAGGAAGGTTTGGAAACAGTAGGACTGTATTTTTTTTTTCCTGATACAAAGCAAACAATTATCAAGCAAAGGGCCAATGCTTGGCCCCTAGGATGCTAGTAACATTTCTTAACACCTGCTGAAACAATGACAAGGTATTAATTTGAAAAACAATGAGGACAACCCAAAGCCACAGTAGTCAACTGTTACACTTTCAAGCAATTTTCAGCAAATGGATTGAGCAGGTTCCATGATGGTCCTATAATTGTTGCAGTTTTATGATACAAAACAATAGAGGTTCTCCAATGAGCTGTAAGTGATAGCCATCAATTCTAAACTGGCGTCTCCTCCTCTCCCTTCGGCAGCTGTACATCAAAGGGCATTACAGGAACTCCTACCTGGGGGACTGGAGAAACTTATTATTGTTTCCATTTCTTCCCTGGTGATGCCTGTGGCAGAAATGCCCCCCCCCCCCAAACACAGGCAGCCAACTTAGAGCTAAGATTCAAAGCCAAATTCAGCAATCTATTAGTAACTTGCAATGTTACAGTGATCTACTATAATGGCTATTTTCACCACTACTTCTCTTTTCCCTAAATTTACTGTCCTCAAAGGGACATTTTATATACATGTAAATTTTTTTTAAACTTTGATTTAAAAAAAAGTGTGGTACATTCACCCAATTAGTTAAAAAACTCAGTGATTCTCTATCTCTTGATTCTGTTTATTTTTCTTCAGTGCACTTACAACATTTGACATTGTACTATATATTCATTTGTTTTGCTTGGTTTGGTTTTGTCTGTCTTCTCACATTAGAACATAAGCCCCGTCAATACAAGGACTTTATCTGGTCTCTTTTCTATAATATCCCCGCACATAGAACGATGCCTGGTAAATTAGTCAGTAGATACTCAAAAAAGATTTACCAGATGAATAGATCCACGAATGAATAATTTCCCATTCCATATCTTATCTTAAATTCCTCAATCATATTACATGGATTTTTACTGGATCCTCCACTAACTGAAACTTACAAAAATCATTTGAACTTCGCTTCATCATAGTTATTCCATCCGTAAAATGGGATTAACAATACCTCCCAACTTACCTTCAAGGGTTATTATGGTCATCGGCTAAAATAATGGTTGTCAAAATGCCTTAAAAATCATACATTGCTACATAGACACGAGCCACTATGATTGACCACCGTCCTCACCCCTGCTCCCCCAATTATTATCACTTCATAGCCTTACCTACCTTTAGAATCTACTTGGGAACCAAGAAGAAAAGGTGGCTTTAGAGAAACCAACAGCAGAACAAAAATGACAAAGTCTCTGCAGGAAAATGTGTATAGTTTTCTCATAATAGTGTCCTCAGGTTTCCTCTCACAGCCATCTTCCCTTTTCACTAGTTTTATATACAATTCCAACAAAGTTGCTTTCCATCATTTGGCAGACCAGGAAAGGGGTGGGGGAGAGCAGAGGGAGACTGTCTGAAATGGGTATGCTGATAAAGAGCTCTGTCACCTTTGCTGATGTCCTGTCTGGGAAAGAGAAGGTGGCCGAACAATAGCACCAGACATGCAGATTCACCAGTGGTCAGCTGGGATTTGGGACTAGGGGCAGAGGCAGGCCCCCCCTATACCTCAGGAGACCCCACCAGTAGCAGGTCACTATGTGGCCACTAGGGAAGGACAGTCACAAGGTGATCCTTGGTCAATGAGAAAAGATATAAGTATGGTGAGTGCCCTATTAAAAAGGCAGGAACTGATTTATAATGCATTCTAAACAGATTTCTAACTAAAATGGTTAAAATAAACACTGTATTATTTCCTAATTACAATGTTTATTTTGAATGGGGCTTGAATGGATTGATGGAATAGGGTGTAAATTTTAGAAAACACATTAAACAAACAAATCAATCTCCACATATTTCATTTCATTCACTTGTAGAAAACATAATTTATTAAGGGGTCACTCTGTGACTTAGGGAAAACAGAACATTTGAATCTTAGCTTTCTCCTGTTAGGATACTTCTGAGCTTAAGGAAAACCAATTCAAATTTTCAGTATTCTAAGTAAGCCCTAGTTAGGAACACAAATCTGCTATGTCTGTACCATAGGGTCAAAATACTACGTCCAAGACAGAGAGATGTGCTTTGTGGACTGTGCAGTGTTTTGAATAACTGGCAATGGCCCTTCTCTCCATTAATGTGGATAATTAAGAAAAAATCTCTCAGATAACTGCTAGTCTCCATACGAACTAAACCAATAAAACGTGTGCCAAAAAAAAACCTCACATGGTAACACAGATGAACTCGGAGTCTTCAGAGTTAGAAAGAACTTAAGAGATGACTTTTATCTCACGTTCTTAAACCTGGCTACAAATGGGAAGGAACTGGGCAGCTTTGAAAAATAATGATGTCTTCCCCACATGCCGAGATTTTAATATGGCAAACATCTTGGCGCTAAGACCAGTAAAGGCGCCCCAGGTGTTTCTAATATGTAGTGAAGGCTGAGAATTATTGATTTAGTTCATTGGTTTCCAAATTTGCACTCCATCAGCTACACATGCAGAACTTTTTAGAAAGAGGCTCCACTCAAAACTTCTGAATCAGAATCTCTGGGGTCAAAGGGTGGAAAATCTCTATTAAAAAACAAAAGCAAACCAAAAACATCTTGCCAGGTACTACTGCTCCACATGCCGGCTTGGGGACCACTGATTTAATAGGTATTAGTCACTAATATCCCGGCAAACTGGCTCTTTGAAACAAAATAACAAAAATAACAAAACAACAAACCTTGATTTACAGGGCTTGCCAATTTCAATGGTGTAAGGACTCCCACTCTGACTGAGTCCAGTTATGAAAGTGCCCTCACTGAAGGCAGGGTTTGAAAGAAATGAAGACAACTCACTCCCCAGAGTCAGTGCTGCTGTGGTCCACACCACCGGAAGTACAGCCTCTAAAGCATCAAACAGCTAGCACTGGAGTTTGCAAGTTCTCTTATATAGCCAGGTGATGGTGGGCATACTATTTAACTTCCCTGTTCTTAAATTTCCTCAGCTGTAAAGCAGGATAATAGTATCACTCCCTTATAGAGTTGCTTTGAGAAACAGATTACTATTCTTTGCTATATATAATGTACATATGTGTATTATGTACTATTATTTTGTATAATTGTTTACTAAAACATTAATATTACGTTCTTTCAAAATATGTTAGAATAGTTTAAAATAATATAAAATAAATTATATCAAAATGGACTTTAATTAACTTAATTTTAAAGTTTAGCTTTGTCCTAAGCCATAATAATCGGTGAAATCATGGTTTGATGTGCTAATCATAGTTTTTAAAATAATCACTCAATTACCCAAATAAAGATGTTTATAAACTAAAATCATCTTGCAGGTGAAGAGTTTAAGAGCATAGTTTGAAATCTCAGCTGTGCCATTTACCAATTGTGGGATCCTGAGCAAATTAACCTCTCTGTGCCTCAGTTTCCTCATCTTTAAACTGGGGTTGTTGTGAAGATTAAATGTAAAGTGTTTAAAACAGGGTTCTGGCACATGGTGAATGCTTTATAAGGTTTGGTTATGTTGTTATTATATTGCATATCATTAGTTGAAAGTGTACCATATTTTGGGACATGCGGCATCATTTTCCTTTCTCCCTAGAGGGTAAAAACTGCTAATTCAGCGTTGATCCCCCACTGCCTAGCAGGGATTCTGTTGTAGTATTATTCATCCATAAACATGGAATGACAGGGACATTTCATGTTGGTGTAGAGTGCATTTTTTTCCTCAACCTTACGATACATCTAAACTTGGCATGCAGGAAGTAGATTGACCCACAGGAAATTGCCAATACTTCACTTTTTTAACCCCCCCCCCAAATTCCAATTTCAAGTTGCTAATACCAATTGCTGATCACCCTTGTCCAGGTATTTGGGCCTTGCCTACTGGACATCTGTCTAAATCTTACTGGTGAGATCTCCCCTCTGCTTTGAGACCCAAAGAAAACAGATGTCAGCCACCGCATCTTTGGGTTGGGAGCCAAGAATTTCAGGCAAGTGCTTGTGTCAGCAAATTCATCTCCCTCTCGCCACATGCAGTGGAGTGGGCATCACCCTTTCCCTCCATGTGCTCTGCTCCTGCTGCTGAAATGTTTAATGAGAGCCGGGTATGGTGTTGAGAGTTTCACATATGTTCCACTTAACCTACACAACAAACCCATGACTTAGGCGTTACTTCCTTTATTTTGAAGATAGGAGAACAGAGATTTTGAGGAGGTTGCTACCTGTGAATGAAAATTTTATAATATGGGACTTGGGAAAATAAAGTACTTTAACTTTGCTCTTTGCTGCAGTTATGTGAGCTTTTTCTATTCATTATAAGAACTATCTATGGAAAGGAGGCTGAGATCCCTTGATGAGAATTATTGTATAAATTCAAAGCATAATTATTGATTGCACATTCTTTCATTAAACAAACAAAATATATGCTAATGCTAAATTCACTCCAATTTTCCATTTTGCCATCCTTTGAGAAATAAGCCAATAAACCATTACACACTTAGCTTCCCAGGGAAATGAATTTAAATGTTAATATAAATCCTTTTAGAAAAAAACAAATTTTAACAAATAAGTATTTGAACAAGGAGGGTACTTAACCACGTTCAGAATGAGAAACGTTCAGGACAAGACCCTTGGTGGCTGTTGAGATAAGCTCTCTAAATTTAATATTTTATAATACACTCATACCTCTTTTGTTAGAAATGGAGAAACAGAATCATTTTCTTTTCCCCTGTATTGGAATATATTTAAATCTCTCCAATTTTATTTTGCTAATAGGCAAGGCAAAGTCTGTCTATAAATGTATCCTGATTTATCACAGGTAATCCCACAGTCTAGCATTCATGTGTAGTACTTAACCTCAATTTAAATGTAAATTTTGGGCAACTTGGAGTGCTTTATCTGTGAACTTTGAGAGCTCTCTTCATTAATGAGGTCTGCACTAATTATAAGCAGTTTTGTAAGGTTTTCTTAAAACAATTGCAGAATTGACCCAAAAAGAACAAATTCAGAATTTATTTGTTTTTAAAAAATACTGGCATCCTTGTGCAAATTTCTAGCTCAGGGTTCTAGTCCCCAGGTGTGCATGCAGGAGGAAAGGCCAGCGGGTTGGTAACAGGATGGAATAGACTAGAGAAACCAAATGAAAATGAAAACAGAAGAGAAATGGAATTACCCTCAAACGGGACCTCTTTTTCCTGATGAAAGAAACCATACCCTCTTCTCATCTTAAACAATTTTACCACAAAATATTCTTGGCTGCCCTCCTTTGGTGACTCAAGTCAGGAATATACAATTGGCAGCAACTACTGAAAACAGCACCATCAAAATTCTCATGAAAGAAAAAAAAAACCAAAAAAACCCCAAATAAAATAAAAAAACCCCACAAAAACAATTTTCAAATACTCACAGGTACATCCACATATTTGGAGGCTGCCTTCACCTAGGGAGGAAAGAAAAGAATGGAAGTAAGGCTGGTGTTTATATTTAATTGTCACAGCTCAAAGCTCTATCTATCACCATCAGAGTTAAAACAATATGCTGGCACATGGCACTGACCAGGGAACACAGAAAGGTACTCAAAAATAAAATCTGTTTGCTATTTTCTGCCCTCAGCCACAGTCACTGTTTTGGAGAGAAAGAGAGAGAAAGCAGAGAGAGGGAGGGAGAGAGAATAAGAGGGGAGATTGGAAAGAGAGAACACATTTTCACTAATTCAGACTCTGTAGCAACTGTGGTGGCTTTGCATTTTCTTTCCCCTCTCTAAGATGGAGAACAGAGATTCTAGAAAAACCCAAACTGATTAGTGGTGGGCTCACTGGTCTACAGAAACAACTAAGACCATGGTCCTTGTTGTAGCTTGTGTCTCTGTGTACTTTGGATGCAGGTTCATCTTAATTGAATCCTTCAGTTTTCAGTTTTAGGTAACTTTTCAAGAGGGGGGATGCAGTAGTGTGTGGGGTTTGGAGGGCACCAGGGCCATTCCAAACTGTCCCGAGGCTGCTGTGGGGTCTAGTTTTGTATAACAAAAAACCCAGAAGGGATGTGCAGGAAGTGTTTATGAAATGTATGTTCCATTTTGGGAAGGGAGTGTGGTGGAGTACTCTAGAGTTTGAGAGCATGAAGACTGGAGCTAGTCTTGGGTTAAAATTCTGCTTCTGTGACATACAAACTCTGTCTCTGGGTAAATCAGTTTACCTCTGAGCCTCAGTGGCCTCATCCGCAAAATGGGGATACTAATAGACACCTATTACAGTAAGTTGACAAAGGAGTGAATGCACATGAAGTCCTGGCACAGGGAGCATGGACCAAATGGTAGCTAAGATGATCATTTCATAAGACAATCTGGGTAGGCTCTGTGAGACTGACAAAGAGCTACGTTTGAGGAATAAAATCTACGGAAGCAGGTCTATATGTTTCATTTTGACTCAGGTCATACATGTTCCTCGAGGCACAAAGACCAAGATTTTGAGGTCAGAATAGGCTTGCAGACTGAGATGCAGACAAAGCAGTTAGGATTCTATCTTGCCATCTGGCTGAGATTATTATCTGGAATCACCACCTCTACCCAAATGTTTCCCAGGAAATTATCCAGGATAGCATTTTTTCCCTATTGATCTTTCCTCAAGTCACTTTTCAAAATGTCACCTTCCAAAGGAGAGAAGCAATTAGCCAACAGAGTGGGGTAGAAAGAACCCAGATTTTATATTTAAACTTCTGTAAGTGACAGGACTTGTTGGCCCTGGGATAATCATTTCAAGTTCCTTAGCTTTGACTTCTAGATTTCTAGAACTGGGTGATAATACTGTGTACTTTGGAAGGCTGACGGCCTGATCAAGTGACAAAACATACGAGAAAGGGTTTCATGAAATTTAAAGGGCTGAGCACACAAAATTAGTTAATTATTGAGAAGGGAATGCATTCTGCCTTCTGGAATCATTGCCAGCACCCAAGAGGATTCCTTAGAGATTCTCTTAGAGGTTCTAAGAGATTCTCTTAGAACCCTACCCTAGTCCTTGCAGCACTATTACAATTCAGTAATTTTGGTGCAATGTCTGTTTCTCACAGAATGTCATATCTTCCTCATGGCTGTCTTCCCAGTGACTCATTCAGTACCTGGCTTAGAAAGGGCACTTAGGAAACTTGTAGAAAGAAGGAAGGAGAAAAAGCTAGAGAGCACTTCTGGCTTCAGGATGATTGAGGAATATGCAGAAGGAGGAGATCTACAAGTCACTGCTTGAGTAAGTCAACATAGTTGCAGATAAAGCTGGCTACCTGCAAAGGCTGATGGGTAAGGAAACCAGCTTGGGCCATTAAAGGGGTTTGAAAAAGACTTTCCAGATGTTGCACAATTAATATTTCCATAAAATAATCCCCAATTCCCAGTATTTCCCTTTGGTTTTGATCCAGAATTTAGTATGGGCAAGAAGGAGACTTTAGTTTCATCCAAGTCTCTCCCATTTAAATAATATGTAACATTTATATGTTCTTCATGTTGTAAAACATTTTCACGAATAGTTTCTTATTTAGGCCACCTTGCAAAATGGGGGCTATTACTTACATCTATTTACAACTGAGAACATTAAAGGCCTTTAGAATTAAAAAAAATTATTTGCTTAAATATCAGTTAGAATGAGGAGAGACCATGATTCACATGTATGTCTTGGAACCCCTGAGTTCCTCACCAAAGAGAGACAAGTACACGGAATTCAAGCATCAGTGGTCAGAGAAGGGGCTGGCAAAACAATTCTCAGCTAGAAATAGGCTCCTTTGCTCTGTAGAATTGGTGCTTGGCAGTTGGTAGGAGTTTTGCTACAGCTGAAATGATCAACCTTTAAACACGCCTACTCTTCATTTACCACTAACATGCAGTTCCAACCCGGAGAATGACACTAGTCAACTGTGATTCCTTTCAAGGCATTTTAGGAAGATGAGGCAAACCCTCTGTCATGAATGAAAGCCATCCAGTCTCCTCCATGCCCTGGCCATCAGATTCTTAGGTTTGCTTTTTCATCTGATAGCTGCTGACTTGCCCTGAGTTTTATTGCTCTTTCTCCCATCCCCATAACATCAAAATACAGCTCAGAGTAAATTGTAGTCCTATTATTGTTAGAAACACGTGGCGTATCATTTTTGATTCTGGCTATTCAACTTTAAGAAAGATATTGCCCATGAGGACAGAAGGGAATCTTGAAGTATCTACTCTAAGGAAAGTGACAGTGGAGGTCATCATGAAGAGGGAGAAGGGCTGATGGCAGAGAAAATGATAATCTTTATGTAGTTAATTAGGGAGAGCCAATGCAGAAGTATTGGCCTTGTTCACCATGGTTCTAGAGCATAGACTCGGGATAAATGAGTAAAATGGCAGGATCCCAGAAGAAAGTGCAAATAGCTATCTTGGTCCAGTCAGCTACTCGCCATTTGTAGTGGCTGCAGCCTTCTCACTGGGAATAGCGCAAGGCTATGTAGGATGCTCTGAGGTCAGCCTTTCCCACAGAGAGGTTACCAGGTTACCACTTAAGCTGCTTCCTGTTTTCTGATTCTAGTCTCTTTTATAAGTAGGAAGTTGTCATTAGCTCTAGTTTTTGCAGTAGACATGTTGAGATAGAGCAGAGTGAACCAACTGGCTGAACTCTGTTTCCTGGACCTCTTTCCTGTCTACTGCTAACAGTCCTACATTTAAGTATCACATTTAATTATCACACGTAAGTATCCACAGGAATATGTCTGTGCCAGCTGTACACTAACTCAACAGGAAGAGCCAGCTCTACTTAACACACTAGGGCCTTGGAATTGTCACCAAGGGTCAGAAATCTAAGCACACACCAGGCACTGTCGACCATCCGAGACATTTTCCATTAGAGGTAGATGCTGTTTTGATGAATAAAACTCAAACAATTTAAAAATGCACCATTTAGGTTATAGAAGTTTGTCATTATATACTTCTTCCCCCCCTCCCCATTAAGAGTTGTCAAAATGTGTAGTGATGTAATTTTCTTTAACTTTAAAAGAAATCTTCCTAGTGAAATGGTGAAGAATGAACTCAGGATTGGCAGGGTTAGTCTGATTTTCATTTTTCTTGCTCAGTGACTTTGAGCAAGTTACTTAACTTCTCTTAGCCTCCTCTACAAATGAAACCATAACACTGTTCCTCGCAGGGAGACTGAGAGCATCGGCTGCGGTGACTCACCCACCTGAGTGCTAGCACAGCACCCGACACATGCTGAAACAGCCACCAAATATGCTGCTGATGCGATCAAACTCTCGCTCCTCTTCCAGGTGGCAGCGTGACATCAGTCCCACTCCCCACCTGTAGCCCACGGGCACTTTGTTGCCATAAAAAGGATGCTGGAAACTCCCCAAGTTACCAGCAGGTATCTGAGCTGATTTTCAGTCTGGCATACGTTCTGCTCGTTCTGTGAAAACCCTGTGCACTGGAGAACCCCCCTCTAACACTGAGGCAGATGGCAAAGAGTGAAATGGCCATACCCCAGGTCAGTGGGCACTACAGACCTGCTGCTCACCGGGGCCAAGTCACATCCCCTGGGGCCCAGAAGATGGGGGCGAGGGTAGAGGTTTTGTCCTAGTCACATGCACCAGTAACCGTTGCTAAGCAGGGACTTCACTGTCCTTTAGGGAGATGCAGGAACTGTGATTTCAGTCATTTCCTGAGACTGCATGCCTTCTGACCACCCCCTTAAAGTGGGAAAAAGAACAACCCTTGACAAGAAGTGTTCATGAACAACCTCCCCTCTAGTCTCCTGGACAGAGGCAGTTCTGGGAAAATAGGTTAGTAAAAATGACACAAAGCAGAAGAGGCCAGTGGAGACTAAGGATGAAGGTGAGGAGACAGCTGTCAGCGAGCAACTTGCTCGTGTTTTTACATGCTGGAAGCAAAGAACACTGTGTCCAAGGGGCTGTAGGATGAAGACATTTCCGAGCCCCTTTCTTAGGTGATGGCCAAATGTACCATCTCTCCAAACACTCTGGAAGAGTCTGGTCTACGCAATAACTAACAGCTATTCATAACACTTCTGAGTGCACTCTCCTGTCCAGCTGGAGAGTTAGGAATTTTGCAATAATTACATTTAATATTCACAACAACCTTTCCATAGGAGTTCCTATTTATACTCCCATTTTATAGTTGAAGAAACTGAGGCTGCCAGAGATGAAGTAACTTGGTTTAAAGTCACCCAGCTAGTAAGTTACAGTTTTGGACCTCCCATAGCCTCATGGGCTCATTATCCAGTTAAAAGAAAATATCAAACCACTTTTATTAATCAGTCATATTTAAGTCTTGGAGTGTGTGTGTGCGTGTGTGCAGACACAACCTAAAATAGTTGGAAAAATGTATGAAGGATTTGAATAATTATCTGCACTGACTCAATCAGGGCAGAAGGTCCAGAACGGTTTCTCTGACCTGAATGTCCCAGCTAATTACCT